AGCTGTTGTTGCTTCGCTCCTAACTCCCTTCTATTGCCGCATCTTTCTCTCAACCCCACTTCATATGGCCCATCCACTTATTCACACACTTCTGTAATTTCGCCTCCTCCGATGTCGCCTCTATTTTTCTGTATATTTTCTGGTGTTCTTTGATCCTACAAAGATAGTAAACACAAATATATCGGAGCGACAGGAAGGACAATCAGCTCAAGAATAAAAGAACAACAGTTACTATGCAGAAAAATGGATACGGCAAGGTCGGAGATAGCTGAACACATTTCTTTTACCGGCCACATTATTGACTGGAATGCAACGAAAAGACTGGCCTTATATTGGAAAAATACCAGGAAATGGAAAATCAGGGTGTTTGTGGGCATCCTCTATTAAAGAAACCTGAGGAACAGTTGATTGGCAAAGGATAGGTCAGCGATAATTTAGCGTGATTCCCGGACAGTCTTGGAGATTCAGTGATGGCATCGAACAAAAGAGGCTTGGGCCTAGAAGAACTGTTCGACAACATACAGGAGACATCGCCAAGGAGAAGATCATCCGAGGCATGGTGAAGTCAAGAAAGGGCGATTGAAATCGGCCAAAAAATGTGCCCAGGGGGTGCACTTGTGAGACATAGGATATGAAATTAAAGGCTAAAGGTATATGTGTGCCACCAATGTTTGTATGTATTTTTAGTATCTGTGTAGGAAGGGGAGGTTATTGGTGACAAGCTTGACTACGAGGGATACCAGCCAATACATAAACAGGAACATTATCCCAGCATCCTAGGATTAGATGGGAATGTCAACTGGAGTACCTTTCATTTAGTTTGAAAAGGCCAGTGGAAGGGATTTGCAAGTTGGGGGCTACTGTGGGGAGATTGCCTTGGGACTGTGGTTGTAGATTTGTGCGAATAAGTCCTTGGCACACTGCTCTGTGACCCCGATGAATCCCTGCTGAGCTTTCGTCCGTCATGCGACGGACATCGTCAGAGCAGGACACCATGGTTAACGATGATTAATCAAGACACGAAGACAAGAACAGTGGACTGCTTTAAACCTACTTCTTTCTTTTACTCCAATTTGGTCCATTTAGTAATCCCATGCTTTGTTTGGATTTCCCATGCTTTGCCTCTATATTTGTTCATAAGTTAAATTAAGTGGCTGTGGATGACATGTGGAGTGGCTAGAGATGAAAGGTGAAATGGATGCAATTGAAACCGAACAGCTGCATCCTCCACTAGCCCACTTATGCCTTTAAGCATGCAATGTTGCCGCATATGATTGCGTCCCATTGCACGCGTGCTGTGTAAGTACATTGCTCTTGAAATGAGTGCGACGTGAGTCGAAACCAGATTACAGTCTAATCAAGCCTCCTCAAACTCGGTGGTACTTCTCGTTTCCCCCCTCTCTAAACCTATCCAACAGTCACAGATAGTCTTCGCTTAACTTCCTTCGCTTATTCATTTTATTCAGAATGTTGGCTGTTTTTACGATTTCTATCCCCTCCTTAATCTTTCCCTTACTGGTATAGTCTTCTTGTCCAACCAAGCGTTTGCATTATACTAATTTATCTAGTGTCATGTATGAGCCGTGTTCGGTCAATTCCGATTCTTGGACCCACATACCCTTGCAGACTGTTTTGTGTTAGGATAACCTCTTATGTGTGGGCCTACAGGTCTCTCCCACATAGGCACTAACACATTAACTCAAAATCTTTTAACAGCTCTATCTGGAGAGCGGGTCGTAATATTCTTGAAAGGAAGGCAATACCAAGAAAAGTGTTATTTTCTCTTTATAAATGCTCCTGATGCCCAACCTCATTAATTCGCCTATCTTCTTCAACAGATTACAAGATGGCAGCATAACGATTCAGGTAGAGTAATCTATCCTTTTATCTGGCCCCAAATATATTTTTCCCTTCATTTTATTTGACAATATTCTAAAATAATTATCATCCAGCCCTCCCGGATAATTATTCTAAACAAGAATTCTCCTTAGTCTCCTTAGTTCCTGGTCCCGATGTTTAAAATTTGCCAGGCATAGGCTTCTTATTATCATAGATTTATTAACGCCTACTTTAATCACATATGTGTGGTCGAAGAAGAAATTCAAAAGGAAATTGCATTTTTGTGTTTCCTATGCACATCTCTACCTAATTTGGTCACCTCTTTGCTAACTAGGACATCAAGAAAGGGGAAACCACCTTCCTTTTATTATTCGATGATGAATTTTATCTTCCCATTAATCCTGTTATTCAAGCCAGCAAAATTCTCCAGGTTTTCTTTGCTATGTTACCAAATGGCAAAGTAGTAGTCCATATATCGAACTACTAAAAGTGCCTCCTGAATTACGCATTCCTCAAATTGAGCCATGTAATTATTTGCTAAAATTGGTGGCAAGCGCTATCCCATAGCTAAGCCTCGTGTTTGTTCGTACAGTTTACCATTAAAGGTAAAATATATATAGTACATCACTAGGTTGGTCAGTATCATTATTCACCCTTTACTTAACTTCGTGCTCATTAAAATCTCCGCATTTTAGCCTAGTGTAGATTGCAGTGCCTTTATGGCATCATCTCTAGAGCTGTTAGTGTACATAGACTCAACATCAAAGCTTACCAGTAAATCCCCACTTTCTATCTCCTTTTCGTCGAATAAGAAAACAAATTCTTGAGAATTCTTAATTGAAAACTGCCACGTCTCGGTGATTTGCTTTAACTTATTTCAAATAAATCGTGAGGCTTTACGCATCATGTTTCTTTTATTGTTAATAATAGTTTTAAGTGGCACTCCATCTTTATGTATTTTGGGCAGACCATATGCATTCGGAGACCTAGCATCTCGTTGAAGAAGCGTGTTTCTCTTCCACTTCTCCAGCTCCCCGTTTGTTACGAAATGTTGCAGACAACGCCTGAGTCTAGACATAAGGGTTTCTGTAGGGTCCCTACCGATTGCCTTGTATGTGGTAGATTCATCACTTAAACCAGACACAGGGCCCCAAGGAATGAGACCATATTAATGGAGATAATAAGGAAGATAATATAATCATGGGTTTTAAGCCCATGGAGAGTAAGATTCCCAGGCACTGACATGAGCATCAACTGCTTTAAACTCTCGAATATATCTTAATCGACGGCGGGAATTTGAGGCCAAACAGTGCTTTTTATCATATATATGAAGACCAAGATAATGTGGCTTTCTGTTTAGTCGCAGTGATTTTGACGCTTAGCAGCAGCCAATTGATAAGCGGGTAGGAAAAAAGTGAGTGCAGAATGTAGGTCAGGAGCCCTGCAAAGCGCATCTGGTACCTGTTGTGGAGATGCTTTGGCCTCACTAACCTACTTGTAGCGACACAGTTAGGCGGCTTTGGAGGAAACGAGAGCATAGAATTGTGTGAATAAGTGGATGGTTTATATCAAGTGAGGCTGAGAGGAAGAGATGCGGCACTAGAAGGTAGGACAAAAAATAGGGGTGATGAGTGATGCTACAACGGTTGAACAGAAAATTAGTCAAGTGGATTGACTTCACTTGCTACTGATAAGTTGTAACTCTGTGCTTACGATGGCGCCTCACTGACGATGTCGGCGAAGCGTTTTGAAAATGTACCTAACCAATGGTTCAATGTGGAAAATCACGTATATCATGGCAGAGGACACGAGACTGGGTTTCCTTGACGCTCCGACCAAGTTGCGAAAACAAGGTCGAACCAACACTACCTTTGACACATTTTAGCCTATGCTCATATTTCACGTTTAAGCTCTATAAAAAATCTTTTGAAATCAGTTCCGTGAACCATGCATGTGCTCTATCGTATAATTCATGTCGTTTCCATTGTATAATTTATATTTTCTGTCATTTAGCTTCTCGCTTATCGACATTAATTGTTCTTAAATTAATTTATTTTTTAAATAAATAACTACATTATACATATATATGAGACTTGCAGATATTATATCAAACGGGCTGAAACTATCAACCATTATGATATCCTTTGAAGATTTCATCCTTTGTAGTTATCATCAAAGGTCAGGCCACTACATTTCTTATCATTTTTCTTACACACCAAATTATCTACTTTTTCGTAGATATACTGGACAAGATGTTGCCTCTGCTCGTTTCCTTTTTGTTTATACTTCATATTATCATTATCCAGTTTTGCACATCATAGCTATATTTATGTAACGTCTTGATAATAAGCTACGTATGCTCATTCGTATGTTCTTTCTACACGTCTCATATTAATGCATTCAGCTCTTATATTTCGTATATTTCGAATAATATAGACACTTCTCAGGCAAATTTTTCTTTATTCAATTTGATACAGATGGTTCACCGCCTGGATCTTTTCCTAAAATCCATTTGGCCTAATATTGAAATTTCAAAGATTATATTTTTGAGACTTCCGAATTAGCCCTCTGTGCTTTAGCCGAATATCCATCTTTCCTAAAATCTATTTGGCCTAATATTGAAATTTCAAAGATTCTATTTTTGAGACTTCCGAATTAGCCCTCTGTCTATAAAAATCTTATTTTAATATTTGAACTATATTTTATTGTTAATTCTAATCGACTCGTTCAACATTAAGTTACTTAACTTTGAATCGATAGACAAGGTGCCTATTTATGATGCTATTTGGGTTAAACGTACAGATCTTTAGGATAATAAATATGTTTTAAATAAATTCCAATCCATTATATGATGTCGACCTAATCATTATATTTGAATTTTAATTGACAGAGAATTTTAAGAATGCCATCAATATTTTTAAAATATCTATGTGCTTTAGCCGAATATCTATCTTTCCTAAAATCCATTTGGCCTAATATTGAAATTTCAAAGATTCTATTTTTGAGACTTCCGAATTAGCCCTCTGTCTATAAAAATCTTATTATAATATTTAAACTATATTTTCTTGTTAATTCTAATCTTTTTTTTCTAATATTAGTTTATTTGCTCATTTTTCTTCTGTAGAGCAGTAATCTTCATCTTCCTCTTCTCTTCGATCCTCATGGTTGTGTGCACGCTAATGTTCATAATCGGCGGAGCCTTGCAAACGGAGGCTTGTCGCTTCCTCACAAATCACTACGAAAATGGCACTACATTGATAGATAACATTTTATCTGAGATGGCTGACACGGTCATCACAATTCCCAATAAACAATATCCCATGGATAAAAGCTATACCTGGCCTAGGTCACTTGACCTTTCTACAATTACCTACACTAACGATCATGAAACGCTTCTTACACTTTTTCGCCATGGCATTTTTGATGCTGTTTTAACTAAATGCAACAGCGAGCCACTAATCGACTCCTTCAACATTAAGTTACTTAACTTCGAATCGATAGACAAGGTACCTATTTATGATGCTATTTGGGTTAAACCTACAGATCTTTAGGATAATAGATATGTTTCAAATAAATTCCAATCCATTATATGATTTCGACCTAAGCATTATATTTGAATTTTAATTGACATAGAATTTTAAGAATGTCATCAATATTTTTAAAATATCTATGTGCTTTAGCCGAATATCTATCTTTGCTATAATTCACCTTCACACTTTAGGGTCCATTAATTTGAAAATTTAATAATTCAGGTCACAAGAAAATTTTGTCAAGACCTATAGATTCGATTAACTGTTTTGTCCTTAATCACGTTCTTGATAAATTTTGCTGAATAAATAATTTTTTTTGAAGATGTTCGTGACATTTTCTGATAGCTGGACTCCAGCCTATTCATTCGTTTTTGCCTTATTCCACTGCTCATTCTGCTACTATGACATTTTGTTCGTTTGCATATTTCCCACACTCACCAAGCCTCCTGAGTTATGACTGATTTGCTCTTTAAATTGACGGAATCCCAAATAACGGCTTATTCTGATGTCCTCATAGCCTCACTCAGATACTTGCTCGTAGATTTACCATTCACACTTAACTTTTCCTCGATCCTACCACTATCCAATGCTCAGCAAGTATATTCAACCCCTAACACCTGAACTTTTCCGTCTCATTCGGCAGTCATTTTATTTTACTACGACGCTCGGATTGACGCGCTCTATTAGACATCCTTCTTGGTTTTAAATTAAAACGGGTTAGCATACGACGGGCATCGTTAGAACTAGAACTCATTCCTGCAAAAGCTTGATGCTTCCATTGAATTACTAAGACTAGCTGCCCCTACTTTACTTTTTGTTTTTATTCAATTAGCAAACATGTTAAATTTGTCAGCACTAAAGTGATGCTTTTTTTCCGCTAGTTGATTAAAGGGCCTTAAAATT